TTGAGCAAAAATTGATTTCAAGAGAGTTTTTCTTGCAACCAGATATCACCCAAAAGTGATATCGATTTTTACTCGAATTTTTTTATATTTATTTATTAATAGCATAATAGATGGACCAAAATATGATTCAAAGTAAGAGAGTCTCTTCTTCAACCTGATATCAACCAATAGTATTATCCATTTTTACTTAAAAATATAGACCAAAATTGCCTTTTCGTACCTTGTAGAAATAATTTAGAAATATGATCACAATCAGAATGATTAGAATCGATGTCCAAGTATTCTTGGAAGCCCACAGGCTGATGCTAAAATTGCCTACTGATTTCGTTTAATAACTTTTATATTATTTTTTTTTTATAACTCATTTGTCTTTTTTTGTATTGTTTTGTATTGTTTTTTAATTATACTCCTAATAGATTCATCGCTGGTAATATCTATTACAATCAATTACAATGTTATTCCTTTTTTCTATTTTCTTATTTTCAATCTCTGCTCATTGTTTTATATAACGATTTGCAAAATAAATTGAATTAAAAAAAAAAAACAATCAGAATGAAGGATAACCAATGTTCTAAAAAAATCCTTAGAAATGGAAAAGACAACCAATGAGTTGCATTCTAATTATAATAGATTACCTACCTCTCAACAACCTTTAGAAGAGGTAGTTTCAATTGCCTTATTAGATGAGAAAAATTAAATACACATAGTTTCTGGATTTATTGTATTATTATTATTATTATTGGTTTTATAGATTTTTGTCAATGTATCAGAAAATGACGTTTTTTAGGTTATTATCCATTAAATATCTTAAAACAACTTGTGAGAGAAAATTGCAATCCGCGGTTCCATTAACTGCATTGTGCAATATTTCAACTTCAACAATATTGCATCAGGTTCATAAAACATTATTTTATAAGATAAATTTAAGTTTCAACCTGCAATAGTAAGTTTCCGTAAATATCTTGAAAAGTGAAATATTAATGGTTTATTAAGATCGATAATAATTATAAATATTTTTAATTATGAGATTGAATTATAAAAATTGCCAAAATCGCCAAACGTTTTGTTTTATATTCGGATAGATTTTTTGAATATTACAAATTTTCTCATTGATCTTGCTTACTTCGAGCAATTAAGTCACCTACAAAATTTCATTTTTATATTCTATACTATCTTCATTAGGGTGGTCCTTACTATGCACATTTTCGAACTTCCTTGCTCTCAAATGCTCAAATGTTTTCAAATCGATGAAAAAAATCCTCTGAAAGTTTCAGCTCGTAATATTGCCTTTTAGATAGTGCGCAAATCAATCAAAGTTTTGTATGGAAATAGCATGGAAAAATTTTCAGAAATTTTAAAAATGTTTTTCAGATATAACTTAGCGAACAAATGAATGAGTTTTATTCAAAATTCGACGCTCTACAAAACAAATTATAAAAAAAACTGTTTTGCAAAGCGTCGAATTTTCAATAAAAGATGACACAAATTGTCACTTTTATTTCATTTGTCGCTAAGTTATACATAAAAAAAACATTTTTAAAATTTTCGAAATTTTGATGAATAGATTTTCGAAGCTTTAACTGAATTGCGCACTATCTAAAAGTTAATATTAAGAGCTAAAACTTTCAGAGAATTTTTTTTATTAATTTGGAAGCATTTAAACTCTTGGGAGCAATAAAATTCTAAAATCTCCATATTAAGGACCACCCTAATCTTTATATATATTTTTATACTATCTTCATATATTCTATATTATATTTTATATATTAGGTTGTCAAATATCTCCCTTCCGCTTTTTTTGCTCTTGGTTTATAATACAAAAAGGCGGAAGGGAGATATTTGACAACCTATTATATTCTAAACTATCTTCTTATATATATATATATATATATATATATATATATATATATATATATATATATATATACATCCTATTTTATCTAATTTTTCTTTTGCTCTTTACAATTAATTTCTTTATTCTTCTTTTCTTTTAAATCTGATCTTCTTTAATTCTGCTCTTCAATTCTGCTCTTCAATTCTACTCTTGCAGTAAGAAGGAAATTCTTTATTCAAATTCTATTTAATATAAAATATCTATTTTCAAATTCTACTCCTTACTTATATTTCTATGCAATTTTAAATCAACAATTAAAATTCTATTTAATTTTAACTTAACACTTCAAATGTTATGTCATTGCCAAGAATCGATTCGATGAACTGTGGTGTATGAGTCGGGCACGCTACTGACTGAGCTATTCCCGCCACAAACTTTGATTTGATTTGTTTGTTTATTCTGTATATAAAAAACTTATTTGAATATTCTAAAAATCTGACACTATCTATATATAGACTAAGAAAAAAAAATTAAAAAATAGATGTTAAATTTGAATTGCTGATGGTATTTTCCTACAATTGTGGTGCATAGTTTATGAATAAAAATTTCAATTGCATTTTTGATATGTCTGTATTTAAAAAAATAAGTTATGATTAAAATGTCTCGGTGATTTTAAAACTATAGTTATTATGGCGCAGTACCATTAATCTTTTATTTAATCGATGCTTTCGAAAAGTTTTTGATAGTGATAGCAAATAACACTTTCTTGCTCAACCTTAATATGCAGCAGGAAAAACCCGATCTCGTTATAATATAATGATGTTATTATTATTAAGCTTGATATTATTAATATAAATATGGTTTTATTTTTTATTTCAACTTATGCAACTTAGAACAGACATGTCGTGACTTAATTAGTTGTTCGCCATGGCAAAATTGAAAACAATTGCATCTTTGTTCGAGACATGTCGACTATTGAAGGATATGTACCGGTCTGTGACTACACATATGTTTTTATTACAGAGATTTTGTTTATAAATTGAAGTTTATTTATATATTGAAGTAACGTAATATTATTATTATTACAACTAGTGCTTTGCCTCAAGGCAAGCTATAAAGTAAGAGCAACATGCTTTTACTCCTTTTCATCTTATGTTACCAGTTCACTTTCTAATGGTTAGTTTTTCAAATTCCTGCTTTTATAGGTACGTGTTTTGTGGCTTAACTTTTTATATGATTCTTTCTTCTTGGTCCACGATGATTTGCTTTTTTTGTCACATTCATTTTACCAATTTTGCCTTATAATATGGTGATATAGTAATAGTGCAGTAGGATTTCCTTTTTCAATATTGGCTTTATCCAGTTTTTCTTTTATTTCAAGTCATGTTGTGTAATTTTGTTTTTTTTTTTATATTTGGCACCTTCGACTGTATGTGCTACTTTATTGGTTCTGAAATTTCATATTTAGAAACCTTCTGGATAGCTATGCCAAATATACTTATATCAGTAAAAACTTTTGTCATCTAAGTTTTTCATAAAGTCATAATATTTAATATTATTGATTATTGTTTGCTTATAAATAGATCTTGCCGAATCCACTACATTTGATTATTTTCCACATGTGTGGAAATAAATTTTCTTTTTCCACATATTTTCTTTATTTCTGGAAAGTTTCTCCAAAAGCTTTGTTAGTCATTTATAAAATTTATGTCTCTTACCATGCAGGGTCATGCAGGGTCACGATTCTAATAATAAACATTTTAATTATTTTTTCCTGAAGTCACAATTGTCATTGCTTTTCTGTAATATATATATATATATATATATATATATATATATATATATATATAGTATATTTATACATAACTTCTGACACTGGTAATTCTAGTTTTGATGTCGTGTACCGTGTTGTTTGTAATAGAAATTTGTTTATATAAA